AATTTCTTACTCTTACAAGTTGAATGACTTGCATTCTGATATGTTTTATGCAGAGTCCTGATGGGGATTTCATAGACTGTGTTCTGTCTCATCTTCAACCTGCTTTTGATCATCCTGAACTTAAAGGGCAGAAACCATTGGTAATTTTCTATCAAAGATACAATATTTTCTGCTTTATTTTTTGGAAGCAAAATTAGCATTGAGCAACTGGAATTGGTGGGAAATCGAAATTTTTTGTGTGTGGAACATTGCAGGATCCACCAGAGAGGCCAAAAGGCCTTTATTTCACAGAAGCAGCGAGGGAAAGCCTCCAGCTTTGGACAGATTCAGGTGAGTCATGCCCTGAAGGAACTGTTCCAATCAGGAGGACTACAGAGAAAGATATTCTGAGAGCAAGTTCTGTTAGAAGATATGGAAGAAAATTAGGAAGAAATGTAAGGAGAGACTCAACCGGGAATGGTCATGAGGTCAGTACTCAAGACACTGTCAAATTAATCGAAACAACACTCGAATTTTCCAGTTTGATCTAAGAACGAAGTTATATAATCATTGATCTCAAGGAGAGGAAAACAGAGAAAAGTTGTTTGTATTTTTATTTATTTTACTTGGATTTAGTAAACCGGTTTTGAGAAACTAAGAATAAGTTATATGAGAAAATCTTTCTTGATCCCTCCCCCAAGGGTAATGTTAGTTACATAGACTGGCTAATTTGGTTAATTAGTCTTGTTTTGGTTGGCAAAAGGTAAAGAAAAGGAAGATGTTTGCTTCTGACATTCATATTTTTGTTACTTATTACAGCATGCTGTTCTGTTTGTAAATGGAGAACAATATTATGGAGCAAAGGCAAACCTAAATGTCTGGGCGCCCCGGGTAACTAATGAATATGAGTTCAGTTTGTCGCAGATTTGGGTTATCTCTGGTTCATTTGGAAATGATCTGAACACCATCGAAGCTGGTTGGCAGGCATGCTCATGATTCTCCACTGTTTCTCACTCTTGCACAACTGTCTTGAATCTTGGCATTTTCTAATATTTTACTAAACAATTATGAAATTCATACTTCTTCAGGTTAGCCCGGAGTTATATGGAGATAACTATCCTAGGTTCTTCACATATTGGACAGTAAGTCCCAAGTGGTGTTTTACTGTGATAGTTTTCTTCATGAGATTGTAAAGATCATAAAGCTGGCACTGATTTGGATTTTGATTTGCAGACTGATGCATACCGAACCACCGGATGCTACAATTTACTCTGCTCCGGGTTTGTCCAAACTAACAACAGGATTGCCATCGGGGCAGCAATCTCTCCAAGGTCCTCCTACAATGGCAGACAATTTGACATTGGCTTAATGGTTTGGAAGGTGAGATTAAGGCCTAGGAAAGATCCCCATTTGGACAGCTTAATATTACTTTATGCAATACATATAGAGGTTGACTTCACAAGAAAAACATTAAGGAATTCCCCACTTTTTTTTGTAGGATCCAAATCATGGACATTGGTGGCTAGAATTTGGATCAGGACTATTGGTGGGATATTGGCCTGCATTTTTGTTTAGTCACTTGAGAAATCATGCAAACATGATACAATTTGGAGGGGAAATTGTGAACACAAGATCATCAGGACACCACACATCCACTCAAATGGGGAGTGGCCATTTTGCAGAAGAAGGATTTGGGAAAGCAGCCTACTTCCGGAACCTCCAAACCGTGGATTGGGATAACAACTTGCTTCCCCTAACAAACCTTCGTCTCTTGGCTGATCATTCAAACTGTTATGATGTAAGACAAGGGAGAAATCGTGTCTGGGGAACTTACTTTTACTATGGAGGTCCAGGAAAAAATGTGAGATGTCCATGAAAAAAAACTCAAAACAGCATAGCATAGGGTAAAAAGATAAGAGAGTGAGACATTATTTTTCTCTGATTTTTCTTTCTGGGTATTTGGTTTTCCTCCTACATTTAACATGGTTTGGCCTATTTTTAGATTTTTTTCCCTTTTATTTCAATGTATATTTTCCCTTCTCTTATAGGTTACTTTTCCCACTTTTCGGATTCAATATAAAATTTAGGGTAATACAAATTGTCAATAACAATGATGAGTTGTCTCTTGTTTCCCCTTTTCCTTCTTAATTCTTGATAGAGAGAGATACTGACCCTTAAGAAAACCTTTTCCATATGGACTCCATGTGGGGAGCAGCATGAAAGAAATTTTTTTTAAAAATACATTTCTGATGTTGATGAATGTCAGTGACTTCTGCGGTTGTAATTTAGTACTAATAAACACAACATAAACAGCCTAATTGACCTTGTATTATTTGTCCTACACGAACTTGGATTTAGACAACTAACTTAATACCATGTTTGGAAGTAATATTTTACAATAATTGTGTCATTTGTGTCCTTCATTTAATTAAACAATATAATAACAATATTCTTACGATGGTTTTTTTTTTCTTTCTTTTTCTAATAATAATTTATACAAAATAAGTGAATGTGAATGAATGCTAACCCAAATAAAGAGTACATCATAAAATAATACCTAAAATCATATACTTACAACACCATGTAAAGTATATCATTTTTGTAAATAATATTACCTAGAAGTGTGAGAGTGAGAGTGACAACATATTATTTCAGATCTTGGTAACAGTGTCAGCCTAAAGGAAAATAGAAATACAGTGGGGCGGGTTAACAGATTGCTTGTTCCTGGTAGCTTCTCATTTTGTCAAGTCGCTATGGCATGATGCCCTACCAAGAATCCAGAAGATAATGTTATCACTGGAGGCATCATGGTAATAGTTGACGTTATAAATGCTACCTGAACATTGCGATTTATTCATGACTAAACATTAATCTTCCAATAAAACAGTAAATTTTTCTTGAATCTTATATCCATGAATAGATCTAATAAAGGGCATGGTCACCTTTGGCTTCACATTCACAATTTACATGCGGCTGAGTATCATCTAATACAGACAGTAAAATGTTTTCTTTTCCAAAACTAGCACTGATTTTGACAACAGAGAAGTCTATAAATTTAACCAAATCTTCAGGAGCACAGATTCGAAGGATATTTTCTTCCAAAAGAACCATAAAAACTTCCTTTACACTAAATCTCCGGCTCTCTTGATCATGGATCATTGTATATGTCCTTCCCAAGTCAGCACACAATTTAAGAAACTGAGGGTTGTCCCATGATTCACTCAAATCTAAAATGCCATAGTTTCCTGTTAGGCAACCTTCAGACTTCATGTTTAATGCTATTCTCCGTATAGATGCTAGGTTAAAAACTAAATGCCAAGCTGTTGGGGACCAACTCTGAATTGGACTTTCAAAGTTTGTGTTGATAAGTAGAGAGTAAAGCTGGACCACAATAGCCAAGGAGAAGCGGGATATGAAGATGAAGAAATCATAGAAATCCATGCCTGTTAAAGCATAAACAATGAGTAAATACTACAAGACAAAAAGAACCACAATACTGGAAACCTAAGGTTAGATTTTACCATCAGAGTAAACTGCAATAGGAATAGAATTTGCTGCCAAATATCAATTTGGTTCAATTAGCTTCAATATTTAATCTAATCAGTTCATCCACTATGAATGCAAAAATGTATCTTGTTTTAAACCTTTAATTAAGCCTGCAGATATTGATAACTAATTTCTATCTCCCTCAATTAAACTGCTCCCATCAGTACCTTAGGCCAGGTTGAATAAGCACTAGGTGACCATAACCACGGACTAAACTTTAGGTGGAGATAAAAAGGAAAAAAATCATACTACTCCCATTGTTCATCCTACCATATACCAGTATTTCGAGTTGCATGGCCCAATTCCAGCTATACACTAACCTACCAAGAATTGGTTTAGCAGGGAAAAACTGAAAACTACCCTTCCCAACCCTCCACTCCACAAAGAATAAAAACTCTCAGAGAAAGAGGGAGAGGAAAGGTATAAGGGCAAGAGTTATTTTACACTCCACAATCTTGATAGGTTAAGCTCAACTTGAAGCAGTATGTCATGCTAAATTACTGTTACCATTAAAGATCAATGACATACCTGTATTTGCTGCCAGATTACGTTGGCAGAGATTTTCAAAATCATCACAAATGTCTTTGATGTCCTCTATGTAATCCCTGGCCTCCTTGTAATCTTTTAAGAGCAGATCCCACTGAAAGAATGAGTAACTTTATAAGACATCTTCAGCTTCATACACCAGCAGGATTCCCTTTTGTTTCAAATTCTATTTTGGAATTAATTTTCTTTAGTAATGCACTTACCACCCATGAAAGATTGTAGGCATTGAACCAGTTGTGGTTTATTGATATTGTATCCTCCTGAAGAAATGATAAAGGAAAATGTCAAAAGAGATAAAGTCATTCATCATGCATAGGGACTAAAGATAATGCCTATGAGAAAGAACCATATTAAGCCTCTATTAAAATTGTGACCATACTCTGTCTTCTTTATGTCCAATGAACCTTTTCAAAACAAATCATTCATTCTACGTTCTGGAAGGTTTCTAGAAGGAATATCATCAAGCAGAAAAAGAACATAGGCTACCAGATTATGAACTTGGTGATACCATCCACTTGGCACAAAGATCATTTCATTCTCTTCCTGAGTACATTCCAGCCATATAGCCTGCAGCCAACTGTAAAATTAGCAACAAAGGGACTTAAAGGTGCATTGTAGAGAGGAGTTGCATTGGAGCTATGAGCTCTATGTACTTACCTTATCAAAACCAGGGAATTTAGTTTCACTAACATCTTCAAAGATATTATACACACAGCTTCTCATGTTCCTAAAATAAAATGTGACAACAGTCAGGAAACACACAGATAAATTATACTAAAATAGGTATAAAATGCTTCAAAAAGTTTGCATGCCTGTCAAAAACTAGATGACATTGAGAAGGAGGCAGGAAAAGCCACTTTTTCCTCCCACATACGTTTGCTGACCAACTATATGACCTGAAAACATCAGCATGAAGAGGCGTCCAAGATCCTACAGAACAGAATTTGAAGTTAGGCAGTAGCCTAGGCTAAACACTAAAGCCAATAAAACAGAAACTAGATATCTCCTTTGACAATAAACATATCTACATACATCAGAAAAATAAAAAGCTTGTCACATCTATGCTCAAACCTTTTGCTCCCATATAAACAAAACGATAGTCAGAACAACATATTTCATTATTCTCTTGGTAAGTATCAGGATCCTTGTGCATTCGATAATTGTCAAGATACAGATTGAGCCAATCATCAGAAAAAACCAGTGGAGTTGTGTACGCTACATATTCTGGGTACTCCTGACAATCAAATTAAAGAGCACATAAATAAGTGAGATTGCTGAGCCACTAATATCCTAGGCTTCTGGCATATGTACCAGTCACCACAGCAGACAAAGATGCAAGGAGATGCAAATCAACGAAAGACAAACTTCAAAGAAGCCATCAAGGTCCCATCTTAACTAGCAAGCAGAAGCAGAAACTCAAAAATGTTTTTTTTTTTTTTTTTTTCCTTTTATTATGGGTAAATAAGCTCTCCAACTCAAAACAGAACTCACTGTGGGGCAACAAATTGGAAAGATAAATGTAAACTGAGAGAGGAATAACTTTGAAACAGAACAAGAAGCTACCTTTACAAAATGCCAGTCCTTTAAATACAGCAAGGACTTCTCTTTACCCACGTGATTGTCCATGGAATCCTCAAGCCAATGGTCAACAAACTCTGAGACAGACATTTCTACCCTCTTCTGATCTGTTAATTCTCTAGTCCCACACTCTGCAACCTATTAAGCAACACCCAAAGGACCCAAAAAATTGAACCATCAATGTGAACTAATGAACAAATGCAACAGAACAAAGGGAAATAACCCAAACCCACATTCCAAAAGAAGCTGAAGCAAGTGAATCTGACATCATTCTAGTCTTAAAACAATAGGGAGTCGGATTCAGAAGGAGTAAGTACCTCAACTTTGGATTTGGCGAAGTGGGTGGAGAAGAAACGGAGGTTAGGTTTTCCATCATGGGTAACCCAGTCTTTGCAAGCTTGCCAATCATCCATGAGACCTGTAAGTACCACCGGCTCGTTTTTGGCCAAGTATCTCTCGGCAAAATCGCGATAGCTCAGTTCTTTACCATTAATCTTCTGAATGGAACCTCCAATCTTAATATCCATTTTTCTCCTTTCTTGAAAAGAAACAATTTTGCAACTCCGGCGACGCTCTCTTCGTAATTGAACTTGAAGAGCAAGCCTCTGCAATTCGGCGCCGTCGAAATCGATCTCCGAATCATTTTGTATGGAGCAGGATGTAAATAAAAGAAACCGAAAAATTATAAATTAGCCTCTTAAGTTTCACGTATCAATCAACTGATTCCCTAACGAATGTTTTTGGTCAAATAAGACCCTTGATATGTTGGGGCTTATTTGACTCAAAAGATTAAATGAGGTCTTAATTGACCAAAGTGTACATATTCAGAGGTATAATAACATAAGTCGTCTTCTTTTTTTTAAAAAAAAAAATGGAAATGAAAGGAAGAGACAGGCCTAACCCATTGGCCCAACGGTCAACCCAAATGAAAAGAGAGGCCCAATGAACAAGGGGTGAGCAAGTATTTGTATGAGCAAGATTTTGATACTTGATTTTTTTTTTTTGAACAGGTTCACAATTGCAGGGTGGAGCGTTCAAAACCTAGTCATTGGGTCAGGGATGCACCTTACTAAATGGTTTATAGCGATTGGGTCGTAAGGCTCAGGTGTGATTTTGATACTTGATTTGAATCATAATAGGTACAAGTTTTTGATACACAATAGTCATTTATGTATTGTAAATTCATATTCATTACCCAACTCTTTAAATATATGTATACTTATATACCCATTGAATATTATAACCTTTGATACAAATTAAAAGATAATTAAACATTTTTCAAAACAAATACTTTAGTTCATACATAGTATACATACATTAAAAAATACATGAGTTTATAATTATAACAAAACACATAAGTTGAAACACAAACACAAGTTCATTCACATAAAAACATAGTCAAATACATCTATTTACACAAATACAAATTTATATATATATATATATATATATCAAAATATGTACAAACACAACATTATAAAATCTTCCTTCATTATATTCTTCTCTACTTGAAGAAAAGAAAGCATACTTTCTAGTTTCATGACATTATATTGCAAAATTAAGCATAAAATTAGAATATAATCATTATATTCGCAAAATTCTAATGTCGTTAAGCAACTATGTCTAATTTGAAATGATATTATGAAGTATTTTAGTTTGATGTTTAAAAGTATACTCACATATTACTAAATGTCTTTACAATCAGGATTAAACGGAATTTTATTACTCTTAAGAGATAGAAGTGGAACATAATTTTATAAGTAGACACAAGAAAAAATTATTAATTTGTTAATTGGATTCATTTATATATATATATTTATATAACTATAACCATCATATCCAATACTTGACATGATACTTGATAAGTATGTGTTTTTCATATTCAATATTTAACTATTTCTTTTTATATACAAGTAAAATACATACTTGAATAGGTCAAGTACCCATAGATATCAAATATTTTGATACCCAATGCTTAGCCTTACAGTAAAGTAGATCTTCTCTATATTCAAGTTTCTTCCCATTCTTTATGATATAGCCCTTATAACCCTTTAGCATAGGATTATTTTATTTTAGTCACTTTCCCTTTAGTGGATGTCAGAACTTGTAGAATTTGTCAAGTTTTCAATGAACTGAAGCTATTTCATGTCCACATCCACAATAGGCTAGCGACATAGTATGTAGCAATGTTAAGTCAACATGCATAGCAATTAGTTTATGGACTTCTTTTGGGGGAGGAGAAGGGGGGCTTTAGCCAAGCATGCTTATATGTCTGACCATATGATTGGAAGCACTTACTGAGCATTCCATACATCATCTCGAATTTTGAAAGTGACTTTATATGGACATTCAAAATCTTTGTTAGAGCATTTTAGATTCAAAATTATTTACGTTTCTAAGCAAATTTCACTCATGATCTAATTTGATGAAGAATTTTGCGACATCGAAGGTTTTTAACAATTATTTCATTGTTTGAGAATTGAAGTTAATGAAAAAAAGACGAAGGAGGATGGGCTTGAGAGATAACTTTTCTATACCTTGAAAAATTTCAAAACTTAATTCCAATAAGAATTTTAAACTTAAATGGCCTAAATGAAATAATTTCATAAGATCTTCACTGTTTACTCTGTATTCAAGTTTCCATTTCCATACATTTGTTCCAGTCTATCTTCATATTCTCCTAAGGCTCTTTCCACCATCACCACTTGCATTGCATAGAACCAGCCTCCATTTTCTCT